CCAAAAATTGTCAAAAATTGGATTGACGCAGCGGTTGGTATTAGACATTTGGAAGGCCATAAAATAAAAAGTTTTAGCAATTTTTAAATCAATTTATATAAATATAAAAATTAATATAAATATTGATGAGACGTCATTGTGTGATTTATTTCTTTAGTTCCTTTTATTTTAATTTCTTCACGTTTATTTGTATATTTTATGAGTAAATATCTATAACAAACTAAATTTAAAAAAAAAAAGTTTTGCATCATTCAATAACAGTTTACAATCTCTTGCATATTAAAAATCAATAATTTGCGCGCACTTTGCAAATGCGTTAAAAGTTGTTTCGAAAATATGACAATTGATTAAAGTCAATAGCCATCTTTCATATATCCAAAAGCTTATTAATTAGAATAAAAATTTATTTGAATATAAAACTCCCTTATTTGACACGTATCACTTAAATTAGATGTTCGTCAATAATTTAAGATACGAACGTCAACGTCCGTGAAAAAAAAACGATTTGTCGCGCCCTGATATATATTGTAATTTATTTTATGTTTTATTTACTTGTTTTTTGTCTGTTTCATATCTGTAAGTTCGTGCAATTGATATTTTCTAATTTTGATGAAAGTTTGAAATTTTTTGTTACTCATGTATAATTTATATAGTTCATATTTCTATTAGTTTTCTATATATTTGAAAAATGTTTTGATAATTTCTATTAAACTCTAATGCTAAACCGAGCTAGCTAATTAATTACACCAGGCTAGTAATAAAATCTTGGTCTGCAAAATAGATAACTTTCAATTAGGGTTTTAGAGCAGCTCCAGAGCCGTAGCTATGCGAGGCTGGTGATTTTACATGGAGCGGAGTCGGAGCTGGAGCTAAAATAAATTCTGTTGGAGCTGGCTCAGGAGAAATTATTTCTTCAAATTGGGTAAGGGGTCGTACATAAAGTACGTATGCTTTTATTTTGATCTCCACCCCCACTGCATTTTGCTATATGCTTTTTTGAGTACCCTCCACTTCTCTAAAAATACCTATGATTTTAACCTACCTATCCAACATTTTATGATAATTTTTTAATTTAGTGTCTCCTTACTTTTATAATTGACCCCTTGCCACAACCCCACACCCCCATCTCATAAACGCCATTTGAAGACCCCCTCTCCCCAATCTGAGCACACTTACTTTATGGACTATCCCTAGCAAAAAAATACTTTATCTATGTCACATGATTTGTTTAACATTTTTAAATAGTTGAAACATTTTTGAAATAGATTTAAATATGTGAGTTCCAAATTAAATTAGGAAAAGATTTAAAATATTTTTTTGAGATTATTTATATTATTTTTGTTTATACTATTTTTTTTATTATTCTGATCTTTAAAATTTGTCATTTACTTTGTTTTCCATAGTTTTTAATAAAATAGCTTCAAACTCAAACAATTAGAGGTTTCTAGATAAGTATTTTTTTGAATTGATAAAAGTACAAAACTGGCTACATGTAGATTACAGAAAAGATAAATGATAAAGTGATTTTGTGCAGCATGCAAATAAAAAAATCAGAAGTTTACAATATGAAACGGCATTTGGAAAGATCACATCTATCAAAATGTAAAATTGTTGAATCCAAAATGAGCCTTATAGCCCAAGGAAAATCTTTAGAATGATTTTTATCCCATCATCAAGATTTCAATACTAAAAAAACTAAACAAATTACTTTAGATTCTTTTGCTATCACTAGTAGTAGAACGATAAATCCATTTAGTGCTAAATCTTTTAAAATAGGAATTATTAAAATGGTAGGGAATAATGGAGTTTTATTGAAAACATTTGTGGATGAAGGATTTCAGTTGGTTACAGGCTGGTTAGGTAAAACTCTTGGATTCAGTATTGGACACAATTCTGTATGCAATTTGATTAATGAATTTGCTAAAAAAAAAAGAAAACTGAAATATAGGAAATATTGTAACAGAAATTTGTTTATGTGAAAATAGATGCAGCCACTCGACACTAAAAGAATTATTTTGGAATAAATATTCAATATTATTATGGAGAAAAAATCATGTTAAAACTTTGGTACTGATAGATACACAAGGACAGCACAACCCTGCTACTGTTAAAAAAAGTGATGGAAGATATTATATATAGATATGGTATGAGCAAAAATCAAATAGTATGTGCAAGTGTAGACAATGCAGCCAATATGATTAGAGCAATCACACTTTTAAATGAATATTCAGGTGATAAAAATTTTTGAGTTAAAGCAGGATGAAGAACAAGAGGAGGTTTTTTTCAACAGGATAAAGTATTGGGAAAGTATTGGGAAGAAAATCTAGCCATGTACAGTAAGTACAGTAAGAGAAAGAAAGTACAGCAGCTTGGGAAGAAAATCTAGCCTTGTCCTCCCAGAATAATGTCAACCATTGTCTACTAACATTAGGCTGATTCGCTGTGTTATTTACACTTTGCAGCTAGCTATTTGTATGACTTAAAAAAAAAATACATTGCCTAACTTTTGGCAAAAGTCCATTATGTTGTAAAGAAACTAATAAACTCACATACAATATGTTTAGCAAGGATACAATATGTTTATCACTTACAATATGCTTATAAGGTCGTTCCAATTTTGGATAATGAGACATGCTGGGGTTCTACATTCTGTATGATTGAACAATTATTACTTTTGCGTCTGTGTGAGCAATTTGCTGCAGTGGATCAGATATTCTTTCTACGCCCTGAATTATGGGATAGATTGAGTCATCTTTGCAATCTTTTAAAAAAGCTGTATGATGTGACAGGTAAACTTCATGGAATTGACATCACTTCCGGAGAGTTACTAAAGGAATGATGACCTATAGAAGAATATTTCAAAATCAATGCAGAAATTAAAAGAAAAAACTATTGATAATGATATATTTCTAGCTGCAGTTTATGTTGATACTAGATATAGAATAAAGAAATAAAAAGAAAAATCTATTGATAATGTTATATTTCTAGCTGCAGTTTATGTTGATGCTAGATATATAAGCAAAATAAGGCTAATATGAGCAAAATAAGGCTTAAAAACAATAGCAGAAAAAATTTATAAAAGAGATAATAGAAATAATAGAAATTCAAGAAATAAGAAATACTGCTGAGCCATCTACATCGCTTCTTTCAGTTTTAAGTGTATCTAATTCCGATGGAGGATGAGTTTGAAATTGAGCATAAAAAAAAAAGAAAAAAAAGGAATGTGACCAAAATTAATTTTAATGATAAAAATACTTTTAATACAAATGTTATGTACAACTGTAGGGTAATGGAAGAAATTGGACGTTTAAAAGTGAAATCAACTTTTAAGGGAATTAAACAATACCCCCCCCCCCAAAAAAAAAAAAATAAATAAATAAAAAATAAATAAAAAATAAAAGAAGCGTGCAAAGTAGTAACATGTATACCTGTCTCACAAGCATGTGTAGAGAAACTTTTTTCTGCACTTAAGTTTATATTAAGCAATTTGGGTTCTTCACTTAAACCTGATATTTTATTTTTAAGGATGAATCAAGATTTTGATTAATAAAATATCAATAGTACTTAAGTTACTCTCATAAAACATTAATTTTCTTAAATTTGTTTTTTGTGGAGCCGCTCCAAAGCTGCTCTGGAGCCGGAGCTGGAGCCTGGAGCTGGAGCCAGTTTTTAGACTTCAGCTCCAAAGCCCTAATTTCAATATCATATTAATTTTTTTTTTTAATATATAAGAGAACAGTTAAAATTTATAAAGTAAATGCGTAAGTATAATCAAATATTAATCGTTGTTTAATCTACTATTCATTTGCTGTGTTTTGATCTGTGTAAGATTGGTGGTTCAAACCCGGTGGTTGGGATCGGTGGTTGGGAAGAAGGCATGAACTTCCTATTAAATGCTCTTCCGTGGTGCTCTGTGATAAGACCAAAAGGACTTCTTGGGGCACCTTAAAAAGTTTATAGGGTGCAGTGGTAATATTAAAAAATTTTTTTTTTTTGAAATTCATTTTGCCTGGGTGTGCAAAAGTTGTCTATTCATATCAGAAATGCTCTGTAAAAATTGCAATGCTCTGGTAAATTATCTTGAGGTGCCACAAGGACTTTGAAATCCCCCAAAATCCCTAAAAAGTTAGAAATTACAATTATTATTAAATTCATATTTTCACAAAAAAATCAATGGCTAAAAATAAACTGATCTTGTTTTTTGATTTCTATTATAATAAACCTGTATGATGGTTTTAACATCATATCAGAACCTAATGAAAATATATTTATGTAAATTGAAGAACTTTGAGGTGCCACAAAAATTGAGAATAACAATTATTTCAAACAAAATTAAGTAAGTCTGGTTCAAGTTTATTTTCTGTCAATCATTTCAAGAACCTCATATATATATTGAATATTCAATATATATATATATATATATATATATATATATATATATATATATATATATATATTGAATATTCAATATATATATATATATATATATATATATATATATATATATATATATATATTGAATATTCAATATATATATATATATATATATATTGAATATTCAATATATATATATAATATATATAAAGTGTTAATGTATTTAGTATTCAATAAATATATATATATATATATATTGAATATTCAATATATATATATATATATATATATATATATATATATATATATATATATATATTGAATATTCAATATATATATATATATATATATATATATATATATATATATATATATATATATATATATATATATATATATATAATATATATAAAGTGTTAATGTCTTTAGTATTCAATATATATATATGTATATATATATATATATATATATATATATATATAATATTCAATATATATATATATATATTCAATATATATATATATATATATATATATTCAATATATATATATATATATATATATATATATATATATATATATATATATAATGTTAATATATTTCAAAGTTTTTTGTTTACTCTCTAGAAAATGGCAAATGTACTTATTTATGATGCAATATTATTGAATATATCCATTCTACATTCTTTTATTCAAATTTCAAGGATAGTTCGAAAAGCATTTATTCACCAAAAAAAGATAATTTTGGGTACAAAATATTTATATATACTTTTATAATTGTTTATAGTTTCTAGAAACATAAAATAAAAGTTTCTATAAATTATTTTTTATGATTTTATAATCATTAAATGATGATGATAAATGATAATGAATTTATGTTGCTTCATAAAATCGTTTTTTCATTAAGTAACATAAATTCTTAAGTTTGGAAATATTTTGTAGTGTTCTAATTTGAAATATATAAAATGAAAAAATAAAAAATTAACACTACAATATATATATATATATATATATATATATATATATATATATATATATATATATATATATATATATATATATATATATATATATATATATATATATATATAAAAGTTCCTTAACTTCAACCCTTTTACCTCCCCCCCCTCCCTCACCTTCTTTCTTTTTCCCTATGCAATCTTAACAAAATTAAATGTCATTTCCACTAATAAAATTACTAATTGTTAATTTGCTTTTTTAGTTAAGTTTCATTTTTATTTTTACAGTGAATATTATTCTGTACTGCAGTTTCAATTGTTTGTGTTACATGTGTATTTTACTTCTTGTTGTACCTGATAAATCATACTTACTTAGGTGAGTTTTTTTAAATTTTAGTTTTTTTATTTACTACGCTGGTATGTTTGCTTTTAGCTAGCACTTTATTTTGTAATTTGTTTGTTTTGAAATTAGAAGTTTGAGAGAAACTTGTATCAAAAGTAAATTTGGCTGTAGTGGCCTCTTAACAATACTCTGTTAAGAAATTGCTATCTAAAAACAAGAGTCCAACATGAGGAATGTTGATTAATATCATTGGTTAAAGACTTGAATGTTAAACACTTGCCTTTTACTCGCCTATTACCTTGAGTGGTAAACACTTGCCTGTTATAAAGAAACTTCAGTAATTGAAGATTAAATATTAAAATTAATCATGATAAAATTTAGTAAACATTAAAAATATATATTTATATGTATATTCAGGGCATGATGGTGAAATTCATCAAAAGTCATGGTCAAAAATAAATAAACTATTAATGCAAAATGTAACTGGGATGTATGAAAAACCAAGGGTGAAGTAGAATTATTTGTTTTACATGTGATTCTTATGTGGCCTGTGTTATAGGTAAGATCAATGTATATACATTGTATGAATGTCCGATGGATAGTTTTGTATGAATGAGTACCTCATAGCACAGCGTAAACATAAAAGAACCCCCGGCTTTCATTCTAGACCAGTATCCTACAAGAGGATCAACACTTGTTGTACACCAGGTTAACTATTATCAAAGTAACTCTGTACTATCCCAAAAGAACTTTTCTCAGGGCATCTTATCGAAATCATTGTTTTATATCAAATCAAAGGGCACAGGGTGTTGTTCAGTATAACATCCATACAGATGTAAATGGTTTGTAAATGTTTGTAAAGTTTGTAGGTGTAACAGCAGGATCTAAAATATAGGTCAGTAATAGTTGTATCTGGTTATGTTCATGATTAACTCAGCTGAGTATGTAGTACGCGACTATGTTATAAATAATATCTGTGGTGAAATATAGTTATTCATTTATAAAAAGTATGCAGCCTATAATTATTTAGCTAATTATATGTGCAGAAAGTATATTTGCAGAAGTTATAGGTGCAGTATATGTGCAGAAAGTATATGTGGAGTATATGTGCAGTATAATTGACTTTATGTGATATGTAGTTTTTTGTAATTTAAAAAAAAATGGATTTTATTATATTAAGCATGATAAATTTGAAAAGTCTAAATTATATGTAAAAAAAGGGTAAAAAATGAAGGTTTTTGTACTTTTGTAAATGCAATCTATTATTGTGGAGCTACTCCAAGTAGTGGATGCCTTAGAGAAACACTAAGAATGAAAAAAAAGTTACAGTGTGAGATAAAAGTGCAGAAGGAAAAAAAAGTTATTTAGGAGTAACTAGTAGAATTTGTCAAGATGAGTTAAAATCATTTATTAAAAAAGAAAAGTAAAGAACAATTAAGATATTACAGTTAAATTCATTAATGCTCATAATCATGAATAGCTAAACTATAAATGCAATTGTAAACTATAAATGCAACATATTGGGTTGTAAAATAAGTTCGTAGAGTTTTGTGTTAGAGTTATTTTACAACGATTTGTTTTGTTTTTTAGCAAAGTGCATACATTCATTCGAAAGAGCTCTTTCTTGTCTACAAAACGGTTTTATTTGTTTTTTTGGATAATTTAATTGTTCGTCTTTTTTCTGGCTCAGAAATGGAATATCCAGAAGGAAAAAATTAGCATTTTTGACATCTGCTTTTTTTTGCTTTTCATCGAGGTCAAAAAGCAGCTGAAGCCACTCGGGACATATGCAGTGTGTACGGGGAAGGTGTCTTAGGTGTGTCTACTGCACAAAAATGGTTTGCAAAGTTTAAAAATGGCGACTTAGACCTTGAAGACATGCCTCGAAGCGGACGACCTGCAGAATTCAACGAAGAGCATCTGAAGGCACTATTGAAGGAAGATGGTCGCCAAACAACTCGTGAATCGGCTGAAAAAATGAACACCAGTGCAATGACAATCTCTTGCCACCTTCAATCAATTGGTTTTACTCAAAAACTCAGAGCATGGGTACTCACGAGCTCAACAAAGAAAACAAAGAAAAATGCCTTCAAATTGCTGCTCAACATCTCGCCCGCCACCAAGCAACACATGGACACAAACAGGGCTTTTTGTATCGAATCATCACGGGAGATGAGAAATGGTGTCTGTACGTCAATGTGAAGCAAAGAAAGGATGGTGGCCCCAGGAGAGACGCCGAAGCCGAGAGTCAAGCAAGATCTTCACCCAAAAAAGGCCATGATCTGCGTTTGGTGGGACTGGGAAGGCATGGTGCATTGGGAAATGCTCGAACAAAACGCCACTGTCAAGAAGAAGGTCTACATTGCCCAGCTGAACCATGTAAATGAGGCTATTCAGCTGAACAAACCCGATAAACAAGGTCAAGTCATCTTGCTCCACTACAATGCCAGACCCCATATTGCCCAAGTTGTCAAAACAGCACTCCAAGAGCTTGAATGGGAGGTTCTTCAGCATCCACCATACTCTCCGGATCTTGCACCTACCAACTATCACCTTTTCCGCTCTCTATCAAACCAAACAAGGGGTGTTACCTTTGATGGCAAAGAGAATCTTAAAAACTGGCTCAACAACTTCTTCGACACCAGACTGACCGATTTTTGGCAAAACGGCATCAACAAATTGGTTGAGAGATGGAAGGAGGTCGTAAACAGTAACGGAGAATACATCATTGATTAATTTATTATTATAATTATTATTTTTTGTTCAAATAAATCTTTATGAAAAAACTCTACGAACTTATGTTACAACCCAATATAAATGATCATATATTATGAACACATTTATAATTCATAACTGCAATTATAAACTTATTAACCAGCTTAGTGACAAAAACATTTGTAGATAGTGCTAACCATCTTGAAAATACATATTGAGGCATATATATAATCTATAACTATAACTATAATTATGAATAGAATAATAGTATCCATTTGTGTTATCTCATGACATCCCATCAAGAAGATACATACATACATACATACATACATACATACATACATACATACATACATACATACATACATACATACATACATACATACATACATACATACATACATGCATCCATACATACATACATACATACATACATACATACATACATACATACATACATACATACATACATACATACATACATACATACATACATACATACATACATACAGATGTTCATAGATGTACCCTAAGCATCAAGTTAATATTAAATTTATGTGGATATTGTGTTTAGATTTTCTCTACCTACGATGTTGTTTTTGTTTGACTGGGATAAATGTGGAAGAATATCTCGCTCTATACTATATTGGCATTTAAAGGTATGTTATAAGATATTATTTGTATTATTTAAAGGTTATACATATTATACTAGCAGTAAGCAACCCGTAATACGCGTTGTTAGTAAATAAAATTAAAAAAAAAAAACCACGTATAGAAAAGCCTAGAAACTACTTTAAAATAGAAAAGCCTAGAAAATGACGTAACTCGACTAATAATATTAATGACGTAAAAATGACGTAACTCGACTAATATTAAATTAGCGTATTCATATTATCAGAAGTGTATGGTAGATTTTGTTTTCATTTAAAAAATTATAATTTAATTTACTTAAAAAAGCATTTTTAATTATTTTAAAAAATCATTTTAAAAAATAATAAAGTTTTTATATAAGTAAAAATAATTAAATTTAAAAATAATTTGCAAAAATTCAAATTTTTTTTTAGATTTTTAAAAAATAATGTAGGCTACAATATTAATAAATATCAAAATAACAAAACAATATGTTTTGTTATGTTAATGTGTTATCAGAGATAAATATGTTTATTATTGTTATCATTATATAAATATAAATAAATATTATTTACCTTAACTAAATTTGCATGTTATTTATAAAGATTAATATTTTATTTCATAGATTAATGGCAAAGCAGAGTTAGTTGAAAAAACCACCACATTAGGACATAAGTTAATTAGCCAGATGGTTCTTAAGATACTTTTTGTAATTTTTGGATGTTTATCTGGTAATAAAATTTTTGGTTTTACATTATGTGTCCTATTTATTTATATTTTTAATATACTACTCTACATTTTCTTTTGTTAAGTATAACTTACTAACATGATATTTAAATGGTTATATAAATTTATTTTGTAATTAATTTTTATAGGCTTAGAGGAGATTGAACGTCTTTCTCTTTTAACTATTGTAGCACTTGTAACAAATTGTATAACATTTGTCTCAATATTTCCTGCGCTAATGTGTTTTTGTAGTCAAGTAAGTAATTATTGAGTTATTTTTTTAAGTTTATATATATATATATATATATATATATATATATATATATATATATATAAATATATAAATATATATATATATATAATATATATATATATATATATAATATGTATATATATATATATATATATATATATATATATATATATATAATATATATATATATATATATATAATATATATATATATATAATATGTATATATATATATATGTATATAAATATATATATATATATATATATATATATATATATATATATATATATATATATATATATATATATATATATATATATATATATATATATGTATATATGAAGAGTGTATTTTCAAAATGCGGTATATCCATTTTTGTGGTATTGAGATAATTGACTTTTTTCGCCACACCAAATTGTCTCGTATATTTGGAAAAATTATTGTTTCTTAATGTATATATACATAAAGTATATTATATAATGTTAATAAATAAAATATTATTAAATAAATTTTTTTTTTTTTTTTTGTCAATAAGTTTGCATTTATTTTCAAAATACTGTATATCCAATTAAAGCTTGTTAGCAAAATGCGGTATATCCATTTTATAAAGATGTTATGGAAAGTTTTTAAACTTTAAAAGACCTGAATAAGTTTTAATGATTAATTTTAGTTAACATATTGAACAAATATGTGTATTTAATGTTTGGTCATTATATTTTATTGATAATGTGAATGTAAACAATGTTTTATTAAAGTAATGTAAACTATTACATTTCACAATTCGCAATTGTAAATTTATATTTGTTTCGGAGAGTTAAATATGGACAATAAACAATAATATTTTTTTAGTGTTGTGTAGTTGTAACAATGATGATCACTATTTTTAAGTCTCCATAGAACTAATGGACAATTAATATAACATAAAAGTCATCATTATATTTTTGAACGAAATAAAATTTTAAAAATGAAATACTGCAATAGCCTCATTTTATTTGCAACAAAGCAATTGTCGGTTTAACAAAAAATAAAAAGGAAGTATTATTATTGAATGCTTTCCATTAAAAAACAGGTAGCAAATATATTTAAACTTATTAATTTAAGTTGCCTTTTTAATATATTTTCTATCATTATTCCATAATTCGTTCAGTTAAACAAACAAAGCATGGTAGTTTAAACGAACACTAGAATTAAGAAATGCTTTTCTTTTCTTTTGTTTCATACATCATATCTTTTTTTCTATGTGAAATAGGATATTAGGTAACGCATTAATCTTGTCCATCGCAATCCGCCATTTCTTTAACGCAACTTTAAAATATTTGCGCTTGCGCAGAAGTAATATACATTTGCCACGGATTGGTCAAAATTAAATACCGCATTTTGAAAATAAATAAAAAATTTTATACCGCGTTTTGAAAATACATGTTTTTTTAGAAGTAAAAAAATAATAGGTTATACTTCATTTAGCATATATTCAGACACAATGTCTGCTAGGTCCTTATAAACTAAAAATAAACCACACAATTTCTAAAAAATTTTTAAAATGGCATTTACCGCGTTTTGAAAATAAACTCTTCATATATATATATATATATATATATATATATATATATATATATATATATATATATATATATATATATATATATATATATATATATATATATATATATATATATATATAAATATATATATATATATATATATATATATATATATATATATATATATATATATATATATATATATATATTCACACATAAAATAATATTAAAAGGATTTGATAGTATATTTTGATAGGAATCACTTATTTAAGCAATAACTTGGAAAAATCAATTTCCTAATTAATGCCTAATAAATAGCCCATTGGGGCTCTTGTTGGAGCAAATGCTGAAGATGGCATTGTAATAAAAATACTTATATACTTCATTTGGCTACTGTATTGCAGAAGCCTCCTATGCAAAGACTTACAAAGGTACAAGCAGAAAATTTCAGTTAAATTTTACCTCTTACAAAGTTCACCAAAATTCAATCTTTAGTAAATTCAAAAAGGCTTTTTCCTATTTGTGTAGGTGCTATTTCTGATTGTAATTTTTTTTTTTATCTTTTTTATAAGAACAGCTCTTTTGAAAACAAATGTCTTTTTACAGGGATTATCTTTTCCTAGATGTAGAATTCAGGATATTTTTTTCAATTTTCAGTTATTCCAGATTTCCGAAATGTTTTTTTTAAATAAAAAATTTAAATATATTTTTACAATTTATATATTTTTCAATTTTTTTAGTCATTGCCCATAATATAATAAAAAAAGTTTCATTTAAAAAAATGAGAAAGCAGTCAGCTTAAAGCTAAAATAAGACAAATATAACGGAAATAAACTCCAGTTTTTTTTTTTTTTAATTTTTTTAGGGTTTAAAATATATAACTAAGGTCAATTATTCTCAGATTTATAAATCTTGTTTTATATATCTTGTTTTATATGTTTTATATAGATTTTTTATAAATCTACCTTCGAATTTAAGTTCTAAAAACTTTTAAGAAAATTTAAAAGTGGTATTAATGAAAACAAGCCTTACATTTTATCTCTCATACATGTCTGATCTTATTAATTTATCTAAAAAAACTTTCCCTCTAATCTATTGATTTTAATAACCACACATTTTTTGTCATTCTAGAAAATCTGGTGGAAGGCCTAAAATGGCGATAAATTTTTTGTTTCTACGTCACCATATTTCATCCTCATGGCTTTTAGAATCATACTGCTTATCAGTTGTAAATAAATGCTTACCATGAAGCTACTTCCACTGGAGAAATTATAAAAAATGTTCTGTCTAAATTTGAATTAACTTCAGATAATATTTTACAAGTTATAATTGACACTTCTCTGCTTTGCACACTTTAACTTTTTGGAATCTTTTGTGCTCATAAACATCAATTTTGCTTAAAATCAGCCAACTAATTTGTGTTACATTTATTAGCAAAGCCCATACAATAGTTATTTTTTCCTTATTCAGATTTTTCAAGATAAGCCTCCAATGGATAAGGAAACACACTTCAACAACACTTCTAACTTATTAGGATTAACAAAAATCACAATTATAGACTTTCCTCTAGTTAAATGCGTACAGAAAAAAAAGCCAACAATGTATTATTAGCGTCTATTTATAGGCAAGTGCAATTACTAACAATAGTTACTTTAGTTTTAAATGCAGTATCTGAAGCCACTACTATTCTATGTGTGGAAAAACCATCAGCATTATTTTGGTTTTTCTATGCATTACAACTTTGAAAAATTGTCTTATAAAAGAGAGTTAAGTAAATTTGTTGACGATCTCACTGTGAAGTTGAATATCAGGTTTGATTTAAGTGAAGACCTTTTTTCTTTCTATGACCTTAATTCTGATTCTTAATTTAAATCACCACCTTACCTTGACACCTTAACTTGTTTACCTTGACAAAGATGAAAGTTGTGGAATCTTACTTAATAACATCTGGAAAAAATAATGATTTATGTATTACCAGGGTTCGTGATAAAATTTAATTTAAGGAAGCAAAGTTTTTATCTGAAATAAATGAAATTTTTGAACGTATCTCTAAAAATTGTACCCTAGCAAAAAGGAAAATTTTAGGTCAGTAATTAAAATTTTAAAAAACAAACATGACATTTTTTTTTTTTTCTTTTATCTAGACCCTATTCCCTATTTAGAAAAATAAATTAATATCTTCATTAACTACAAATGAGGAAGATACTAATTTATTTTTTGTTGCAACTTTTTTTTACTCTGTGAATTTAAAACATGCTGGGTAAACATCTAAGTGGAAAGTGGCACTAATAGAAAAAACAGAAAAGACTCTTATCTCAGGTCTTTGCAACAATGCAGGAAAAAAAATTAAGGGAAATATAAAAAAAAGAAAATTGGCTCAAATGTTATAACTGTGTTACATTAGGAAGCCATTATTGTGTGTTTACTAGCCAATCAAGTAGTTAGTAAAATAATTAAATGCTTACACATCAAATCTGCACTAATCCTCTCGAAGTTCTGCACTAAACCTGTTTCTCTGCACATTGGCTTTGTTTAACAAGGTTTTGGAGTTTAGGTTTGAAAAATTTAGTTAAAAAATAAATAAGATTAAGAGCTTCCTCAACTCAAATGCGTACTCTTGGGCCTTGGGGAGGTGAATTTAATTTCAATCAGCAAACAATAAAAAAAAGTTTTTTTTTTTTATTTGTTTGCTGATTGTTTTTTAACAAGATTGTAAATATAAATTAATTCAATTGTTGCTTTTTAATTTTATTTATTACTTGTGGTTATTTAATCATAAACTTAAATGTTTTTTAAGTTTACTCTTATTGTTATTAATTTAATTGTTTGTTGTAATTTAATGTAAACTATCATTAACTTAAATATTTAGGTTTTAAAAAGTAGCTCTTTAGAATTACAAGATGTCCACTCAAAAATTTATCTTAGTCAAGTAATGGAAGAACTCTATCCTCCAATAAAGAGTTATTCATCACCTTTATACATAAGATTTATCATGGTAAGTTATAGTTGCTCTGGTGGTGTTGATTTTTAGTTTCCGTTGAGACTGATAAAATTATCATAATCATTAAAGTCTGTTATGGTCGTTTTCATTGAAACTAAGTGTTAGGAGTAGTTCTGTTACAAATGTTTTAAAATTTTTTTTGACCAAAAATTAGGAGTACTGTATATTTTTTTGTGATATATTACCTTTTTTATTTTATGTTTTTTTTTTAATCTTTAAATATTATCAGTTAATTTTCTAATTTTATAAAGAATGAAAAAGTTTCTTGAACTTTTCTGAATAAGAGTCATTTTTATGTTTTTCATATAGTGTGTTGTTGTTACTGGTTTGCATCTCTTTAATTGCATTGTTTATGCCTCTGGTCAGTCTTCTATTGTGGTAAGAATCATTTCATTGAGGTAAATTAATATTTTACGTTAATTGTTTATTTTTATTGTTAGTAAATTTTTATTCAGAACTTAATATATGTATACACAATGGTGTGAAAAATAATAGAATTAACTTAAAAAAATAGAAAACTAAGGCTTCGTGTAAAACACTTTGTAAATGATTAAATCAAACATTTCATTGGTGCATGTTTTAGTTTAACAAACTTTTCAACTTGTTTTAGTGCGTCTTTTTTATATTTTGGTCACCTCTTAGACTTTATAATTATAAATTTTTAGATATTGTTTTGTTTTAAATTATTTTAAATTCTCTAGACTTTCGAGTCATATACTTTTTCTTTTCATACATTAATTAAATCAAAATAATACTTTTGTCGTTGGGAGGCCCACTAGAGATATTTACTTTTGTCGTTGGGAGGCCCACTAGAGATATTTACTTTTGTCGTTGGGAGGCCCACTAGAGATATTTACTTTTGTCGTTGGGAGGCCCACTAGAGATATTTACTTTTGTCGTTGGGAGGCCCACTAGAGATATTTACTTTTGTCGTTGGGAGGCCCACTAGAGATATTTACTTTTGTCGTTGGGAGGCCCACTAGAGATATTTACTTTTGTCGTTGGGAGGCCCACTAGAGATATTTACTTTTGTCGTTGGGAGGCCCACTAGAGATATTTACTTTTGTCGTTGGGAGGCCCACTAGAGATATTTACTTTTGTCGTTGGGAGGCCCACTAGAGATATTTGGATGTTGGATTTGGCTTTTTGATTGAAAAACAAAATCTATTTGAATAAGTTAGCAAATTACAGAACTATTAGAGACCTTGATATTATTTTACTTTAAAGCTGATTTTTTTCTTGTTTATCTTGCACAAAATCAATCATAACAGTATGTTAGATGTTATTATAACTAAATATTATAATAAATAGTATGATAAATGACCAAATTTTTGTTAATTGTTTATCTCTGCAAAGTGTCTTTTAAGTGTTCAAACTGTTTTAAGGTTCCTCCATATCTTTGATTCTAAATTAAAGATAAGAGAAAAAAAAATTAATGAAATTAAAAAATGCTGACAAAAACTTTTGTTACCAATAAAAGTTCCATCTTTTTAAATTTTTTTATTAATTATAAAAGTTTGAATTATATATTCATGTAAAGCAAAATTAGAAAAAATCCATTGGAAGTGTTACTTTATATAAATTCGTTCAAATATCTCAACAGTTTTAGAATTTATTTAATAATATAAAAATATTTAATAATATAACTATTATTTTATTATTAAATATAAATTAATATATGTATTAAATGCTTTATTAATTGAGAATTTATCTATATATTCTTATTTCAAAATCCTAGGTTTTAAAAAATAAATGTAATTTTTTTTTTTATTTGTTTGTATTCTATTATAATTTCTATTATTTTCTATTACAGCTAATTCCATTTCTCTAAATATTTTTAATAAGTATGTATTTTAGTGTTTTATAAATTTTTTTAATACTTTTGTTTATTTAGTACTTGGAATGTGTCTGCAGAACAGGTATTTACATATAATTATTGACTTTTTGATTGTTTATGTATAATTATATTATTTGTTTTAAATAATTTTGTTGTCGTTGCTGGCAGTGATGTCATTATTGTCTGAAGAAAACTTGTTTTAAAATTTATTTTATTATTTGTTTTAAGTTGTATATGGCTGTCATGGTTATCACATTAGCTTACAAATATTTATCTCATGAAATAAAGAAGTCATTACCTCTTAGTCAATTAAAACCTGAAACAACATCTTGTGTTGGTTTGTCTTCCTGTAACACAAATAATGATCTTCAAAAGGTATGTAAGGATTTGCAAAAGGTATTGTAATGCAAATAATGATCTACAAAAGATAAGTTATATAAATTTTCATAAAAGGTTTCACAAAAAATTTTGTGTGTTTTTATAAGATATTTGATTTAATTTTAATAACTTACAATGTTCTTCAAAGTTATGAGAACTCTCAAACGAAATTCTTTTCCTAAAACAAAAAATGATTAAAATAAAAAGTTTGTGCCTTAAAAGCCTTTTTTATACTATACTTTATTGTTTTCACTTGTTGGATGATATGAAACATTGATAAAAAAAGTAATATTTCAAAACAAAGGGAACTTTTTTATATATAAAAGATTTTGTTGTAAAAAGCACTTGTAATTTGATTTTAATTTCAAAACTTGGTTTTAGTCGACAAAAATGTATTTAATTTATAATAAGCGTTTTATGTTATTATAATTAACTACAATTTTGTTTTGCAGTTTTGCAGTTTATAGAAAATAGTAGCCTAAAGGCTAAAAAAAACTATTTTACATACTGATGGTAAAATTATTAGATTTAAAAAAAAGTTCTACTTTGCTAGTGCAAGAGATACAATTCATAGATTTCATCTAGATATTCAAAAATACTGTATAATGACATTTAGATAAAGCAGAATTTTATATGTATTGTACAGCAAAAAATCTATTCATGTCAAAAAATAAGTTTTAGGGTTTGCAAAGGCTCACAAAAGTTAGACAAAAAAATAGCAGAGAAGAATGTTATTGTTGGATTAGTTTATGTTTAATGGTTCGGATAATAAAAAAAATATTGGAAAGCCAGTTAGAAAGTAATGAAAATCAATGTACACTAAAGAAGTCTTAATACATGGAGGTAGTAAAAGCTTTAAAATTTGCTGGTGCTTTTTAGGATTTTCTGGATTAAGACCACTTTATTGCTTATTTCTGCAGTTTATATGGTTTATTAGTATGTCAATATATATATTTACCTTACACAGAATAGTTAATAAACTAAGATGGTAACATATTATAGTGTCAACTTTAGCATGAGTTTCCGTAGTTTTGGAGGATAGTGCATATATAATTTTTTTTTTTTAGACAGAGCCATTATGGAATTTAACTGACAATGAGATTATTCAACTTTGTAGAAATAAATGCATCCCTCTTCACAGTTTGGAACAATCTTTAAAAGACTATGCAAGAGCAGTCAACATTAGGTAGTTTCTAATATATATATATGTTTTTTACATTTTAAGGTAGTTTTTTACATTTTAAGGTAGTTTTTTACATTCTAAGGTAGTTTTTTACATTTTAAGGTAGTTTTTATCATATTTTAAGGTTTTTTAAGGTTTTATTTTTATCAAATTTTTTTAAATGATGAATCTTGAGCTTCATTTTTAAAATTTATTTATATAATTTAAAATTAAAAAAAAAATTTTGTCTTACAAAATTTTAAAAATTTGATTATATTCTATTATAGTATTTCTTCTATACACAACAAAGCTAAACAAAGAAAAAAATAGCCGTATTTCAAAGTATTCCAAACTTATTTTTTAAATGTTTTGAAAGTTTTCTGCAAAAACTATAGCTAAATTTTTTTTTTCACTAATGAGGATTTATTTTACTGTAAAATTCATGGTTTTTATTTTTTTTTATTTTTGAAAATATAATACAGTTTACATTCAAATTGTTGTAGCAATCCAAAAAATGGTCAAGAAGCACATGGTTTTATAAAGTTAAAGCAATTTTATGTTCACTTTATGTGATATTAACTTAGTAACTTTTTGCTATATTTTTATTTTTAAATGTCTTGAAGCGATAAAAGAAGTATAAAAATCTTTTTTACAAAAATAATTTGGTTAGTGATTATGTAAAAAATAATTTGGTTAGTGATTATGTAAAAAATAATTTGGTTAGTGATTATGTAAAAAATAATTTGGTTAGTGATTATGTAAAAAATAATTTGGTTAGTGATTATGTAAAAAATAATTTGGTTAGTGATTATGTAAAAAATAATTTGGTTAGTGAATATGTAAAAAAGTTTGTTACAAAAGTTTGAAATACATTATATACAATTGAAGACAATACAAAAAACAAATACAAGCACTATACAATTAAAATAAAGTCAGGTAAAATTAAAAACAAAGAAAATTTAATTTTTTATTAAGCTAATCTTTATATCAAACAGAAAACTTTTTTTTAAATACAAAGTTTTAAATACAAAATATTTTAAAAAAAACAACATAAAAAAAACATAGTAAAGACTTTTATTTAACTTCTTTCAAGCACAAGATTATTTATTTAGACAATTTTTAACAGCAATAAAATAAGTTTAAAATTTTTTTTGGGTATTTGTAGGTGCCATTGCATCTCCCCCCCCCTCTCTCTCTAACTCTTTATATATATATATATATATATATATATATATATATATATATATATATATATATATATATATATATATATATATATATATATATTTAATTTTAATAACAATTATTAATGTTTATTTTTGTTTATTAATGATTTAATAAAAAATTTATTAACTTATTTATTATTACATAATAGTTATCTATTTCAATAATAGTTAAAACCTTTTATATGAAAATTTATGTTTACATATATATTTATATATTTGTTTAACTACAGGCGAAAAATTGTTAGCGAGAAACTTTTTGAGATTGACGCTTTGGAAGAACTTCCTTGGAAAGATTATGACTATGCCAAGGTAAACTTCAGTTTTAAATACCAAAGACATTTTTTGTCTTAAACATATAAAAATTTCTTTAAAGTTTACTAAAAACTTTAGAGAAGTTTTTATTGCAAAGGTTTTTGGTGCTTGTTGTGAAAATGTAATTGGTTATTGTCAAATTCCTGTTGGAGTGGCTGGTCCTTTGGTTCTAGATGGTGAAGAGTATTTTGTACCAATGGCAACAACTGAAGGATGCCTAGTCGCAAGTACAAACAGAGGTTGTTCTGCTCTAAGAGTGAGTCTGTTGAAATTCATTTGTTTCTTTTTTCTATTTTTGTTTTCTTTTCAGTCTATTAATTAATTTTTTTTTGTAAGGTATATTTATATATATATATAGAGAATTCCATGGCAGAAAATGAAAAAGTAGTCAAATTTTATTTTATTTTTCGTCAATTTTTAGTAAATGAATATTGTTGTAGACATAGGTTTATTTAAAATATACCTTTAGTACAAAAATTTTTTATTGTTGCGTAAAAAGAAGTACGTAATAAACACTTACATAATGATGTAAGTGTTCATTAAAACACTTATATCATGATGTAAAAAAATTTAAACTATGATAGCAATTTTTACCTCAAAAATTTTTTTAAAGATTAAATTGTAAATACTTTGTAGCACTTAAAAAAATTCAAACTAATGAAAATAAGACAACACGCATAAACATAAGAAGCGTAAGTAAAATTTTTGACCAATATAAAGACTTAATTAAATGACATAATATTTATTAATAAAGTTGTCATATTAAAGTAATTTTTGCTAATAATTTAATAAGTAATTTATAATTTTGTCATACTAAAGTAAAGTTGCTCTTGGTCTTGTAGAAAAAACTGTTATCAATTTGATAATTTTCATTAATGTTATAAAAAATCACTCAGGAACTGTGCCACCAGATTTTTAATATTGTCTTTGTTAATTACTTTTTATGAATGAGTTCAATACTTTTTCAATTCTTTTGTTACATAACTCTAACTCTTAATAATAGATATAAACAGTTCATGATAACAATCGCTCTTAATGTAAATTAAATACATAGTATCAAAAACCAAGTTTATTTTCCTTAGCCGGTTACCACATAAATTTTTATATATTTTTTTAGTTGGTATAGAATTCTCAACATCTTGTGAAAGTTTACAATACATACCGTTTTACTGATTTGCAGAAATCTGACCTAAAAGTGGAAGCAATTATTTTAACTTATTTTCTGCATAACTTAAGTTAAATGGAATTTTCAGTAATAAATTAGCCTTCTTTTGGCTAGACTCAAAACTTTTTAGTTTATCTTATTCTTTAGACTAACAGCTTTTATACAAAATAGCTAAAAATTTAATCTACAGTTTAAATAGGCAAGTATTTGATAAGGTTGTTGCGCATGTAACATATGTTAATGTTAACGTAAGTTATGTTTTCACTAATTTATTATTGCTCTGTTTATTAAAAACATTGAACGCTCTATTTATAGAATACACTAACATAATAAGGCTAGGAGATGCTAACCCTGACATAAAACACACTCTGCCTTTGGGCTCTTGGTTGAGAAAAGGCTAGAGATAGTGTCTCGATAAAAATACTCATCTTGGGCAGATATTTAATGCATCTGGCTGCTGTCTTTTAGAAGGCTTCCTAGTCAAAGACTTAAGGGGTAAACAGATTCTATCTGTTGACCAGCCTCGCACCCCTTCTTCATCTATTAGGCTGGCGCAGATGTATTTTTAATGCATTGTTTCCAGTTTAGGATGTTGAATGCTGGATCTTCTTGACTCGATGCATGGGTTTTGCTTGTGTCTCTGTTTTATGACTAGCAACTCATTCTATTATCTCCTAATGAGGGTACAGCTCTAAAACTCAGTTTTATGGTTCTGAGGCCGGCTGGTAGTCAGGTTTCCTGAACTCTGCGGTAGCTCCTAGAGAGGCTGATTCCATCAACAGCTGAAAAATTACAAAGTGTTAACAGTGCCATGTTGCGCATGGATATATATATATATATATCCATGTATATATATATGCATGTATATAGATTTATATATATATATATATATATATGCGCATGGATGTATATATGTATCCATGTATATATATATGCATGTATATAGATTTATATATATATATATATATATATATATATATATATATATATATATATATATATATATATATATATATATATATATATATGCGCATGGATATATATATATATATATATATGCATATATATATATATATATATATATATGCAAATATATATATGCAAATATATATATATATATATATATATATATATATATATATATATATATATATATATATATGTATATATGGTGGTGTATATATATATATATATCTTGTGAAGAATAAAAAATGCTTAAAGCATTCGCATAACAGAGTTTTCTATGCCATAAAGTTCTTTTTATTTGCTTTTCATATTTATAAATCTTTTCATATTTATAAATCTCTCTATAAATCTTTCTTCTTGTACTTCTTTTTTGGGCTCACCTTATCATCGCACCACCTACTACTACCCTAAAGCAGGCTGGGATTCTTTTCTTGATTTTCTTCGTGATGGTCCTTGGGCTGATGTTTTTTCTCTCTCAGCTGATAAATGCACCTCCTACGTAACCTCCTGGATTCAGGCTGGAATAGAAGCTTTTATTCCTTCTTGTCGGTTTCAAGTCGAGCCTACTACTCAAGTACTACTAGTCAAGTCTACCTAATACAAGTTTTTCTCCTTCTTCTCCAACTCTCTTGAGAACAAATTATTGTAAGAAATCGATGTAAAAAGGTGCTTTCTGATGCTAAACTCCATTATTCTCAGTTCACTAAATCTCGCATCTTATCACTAAAGACTTTTGGAAAATCTTCAACAGCATTATTAACAAGGGTAGATCTAACATTCCATCATTCATTCATGGGACTGATCTTATTACCTCTCCCAAGGATAAGGCAGAACTATTTGCAAAGAACTTTTCTTCTAATTCCACTCTTGAATCTTATGGACATTCTCTTCCTTCCATTCCAGTCAAACAGGTTGACCCATTGTTAGACATTCAAATCACTCCAGCTTCTGTTGCTAAAGTCATATCTCAATTAAACTCGTCTACAGCTTGTGGTCCAGACAACATTCTTGTCACAGTTTTGCAGAACTGTTCTCCAGAACTTTCTTCAATTCTCTCTAAACTATTTAACAAGTGTTTGACTGAGTCTTTATTTTCCTGCTTGTTAGAAAATGGCATCTGTGGTTCCAATATTTAAAAACTCTAGAGAAAATTCTTATTCCTCCAATTATCGTCCGATCAGTCTTCTTTCTGTTATTAGCAAGGTCTTTGAGTCTTTGATCAACAAATTCCTCACATCTCATCTTGAGTCAAATAAACTACTGTCAGACGATCAATACGGTTTTCGATCCTCTCGCTCTACGGCTGACTTGCTAACTGCTGTAACTGAAAGATTTTATTGTGTATTAGATGGAGGCGGTGAGGCTAGGGCTATTGCTCTCGGCATATCTAAAGCTTTCGACAAAGTTTGGCATGCTGGTCTTCTCCATGAGCTTGCTTCATATGGTGTTTCTGGGAAAGTTTTTGAGATTATCAAATCATTTCTTTCTAACTGGTTTGTTAAAGTCATCCTTGAAGGCCAACACTCTTCTTTATTTCCAGTAACTTCTGGGGTTCCGCAAGGTTCCATCCTGGGCCCTGTTTTGTTTCTTATCTACATAAACGATCTTCCTGACAGCCTTTCATCTAAAGTAGCTCTTTTTGCTGATGACTCAACTTTATACTCCTGTCTTGACAAAAAGTCTTCTCTTTTCAATCGCCTAGAACAAGCAGCTGATCTTGAATCCGATCTCACTTCAGTAATAGAATGGGGTTCACAGTGGCTTGTGAATTTCAACTCTAACAAAACCCAGTTGTTTACTGCAAACAACTACCATAATATGGTCAACATTCCTATATTAATGAATGGCAATCCTCTTACTGAGTCCTCCTCTTTACGTCTTCTTGGATTATCACTTACTACTGACCTTTCATGGAAACCATATATACAATCGATTGCTAAATTAGCTTCTGCTAAGGTTGCTTCTCTTTATCGTGCTCGCTATTTCCTTACTTCTGATTCCATTCTCTACCTCTACAAATCTCTTATTTGTCCCTGTATGGAATACTGTTGTCATATTTGGGCTGGTTCTTCTAACGATTTACTTTCTATTCTTGACAAGGTCCAAAAACGCATTGTAAATGTTGTTGGACCTGGACTATCTGCTAAGCTTGAACCTCTTTCCCATCGTCGTAAAGTTGCATCTCTTTCTTTTTTCTACAAATATTATCATAGTCACTGCTCAAAGGAGTTATCATCTCTAGTTCCATTAACTAAAATTCATTCTCGTTTTACTCGTCATTCAGCTAAGTCTCATTCGTTTACTGTATCTGTCCCTGCATGCTCTGAAAACTTTTATTCATCTAGTTTTTTTTACCCGCACTTCAATCCTTTGGAACTCTCTCCCATCTTCATGTTTTCCTGACTCATACAACCTTCAACTTTTCAAGTCTTCTGTCAACCGTTTCCTCTATAAATCTGTTCTTTTTTTTCCTAGTAACTCCCAACTTAATAGTTGCTTGCAGCCTTGTTGGGAGTGATTGCAAATTAAAAAAAAAAAAAAAAAAAATTATTGTCATTGACTTTTTTGAACTACTGCAATTTACTAAATTATGATAAAACTCATTTAATTGAATAATTAATACAAATCTTTTTTTCCTACAAATCATGGTTGGTGTCATCTACCAAAACTCATTCTCACTTGAGTCATCATTCAGCAAAGTCACATCTTTTTTATTGTATCTGTCTTTGCGTGCTCTAATTAATTTAATTTGTCTATTTTTATTTTGTGCTTCATCCTTTGAAACTCTTTCTTATCTTTATGTTTTCCTGACTTATAACGGGTGACAACTAAAAAACGAGACTGGATTTAAAGACCCATATCTCTTTAAAGGAATAAGATAAAACAAAAAGGAATAATGTTTTAGAAAGTATTTTTATTCTAGTTTTTAAATATATAATTAGTTGTTCTCAATTAAACCATTTCTTTTGACTTTATTAACTAGGCCTGGTATAGACTGAGCTAGTCTCTATATGATCTAAATATCAATTTTATTAAGACAATGCTCGATTCTAGAACATAATTTTTTAAAATTTTCTGCATGCCAACTATTCTTGTAGACAAGGCCTTTCAAAATACTCCAAAAA